CGCTCCAACGCCGGACTTCGCAAGCAGCCCCAGCCGGGAGGGCGGCGTCCAGGGCCATTTCCATAACATCATTAAATCTCCCGACATTTATTGAGCCCCTTCTGTGTGCCAGGCGGCGTGTTAGGCGTGGGGGATGCCGCGGAGAACCACAAAAGCCCGCTCAGAGGCGATCAGGTCTTCCCGAATAGACTGCATTGGTCCTGTTCGCCTAAGTAGCAGCACTCAGTGCAGTGCCTGGCATACAGCGGGCACTCAGTGAAACCTATTGGATGAAGGGCATTCGATATAGTATGTAATTGTTCCGCACCGGTTCCTCACGAGGGGGCGCTCCTCGGGGATCCTCATAAACGGCCTCTGCTTGCGCGCACGCGCACTACTTGCCGTGGATAAGGTGAGTGAGCTCAACGAAAGGAGCGCAGATATCGCCAGTGCGCATGCTCATTTAGCGGCGGACCACCCCGCCGTCTCCCACCCGGCAGGCCTTCGCCTTGCGCACGCGCCTTTTGAGGTAGCGTCCCAAAGAGGTAGGGGCGCTTTTCCCGTCAGGCCAGGGAGGGGGTGGGGGGGCTGACGCCGCGCGCAGTTTGATGACGACATTTCAGCGCCGAATGGCCGAATGGCGGCTTCCATCCCTGAGACGAGCAGCTCTGTGGGTCCCACAGGTGAGTGGCGGAAGCCGCGCGCGAGACAGCCCCGCACCCCGGCGGCATCCTCGAGCCTCCGCCGAGTTCATCTCCGTTCCTCCGCCAGCCCCGGGGCTCGGCCGGGGCCCCGGTCACTCTGCCCAGACCGGGCTGGCGGGGGAGCTGAGGGCCCCGGCTGCACCCTCATGCCACCCTCCTGGGCTATGCCTTTATGCCATCTGCCCGCGCGGCTCGAACACCCCGTGCCGTTAGGTGCTTGGCTAATGTTCGTTGAAGGAGTTGAAGGAAGGAGAGCTTCGAGTTAAAGTTGAGCCTTGGGTTTAAGCGGTGTGGGTGGAAGAACAAGGAATGGGTTCCGGCTCGACATCTCCCCACGTGTGTCTCGACTTCTCCGACCCTTAGTTTCTCCGTCTCTAATAGGGGGGTCCCCCAGCCACTTCACAGGACAGTTGTGAGCAACAAACAGGGGACATGCTGCAGCTTCTCGTAGAGCAGCCACTGGGAGGCCTTGGCAGTGGCGTGATTTGCTTGTCATGATTCTCGTTGGCTGAGGGCTGCCGCTCTAAAAGAAACTCCCAAATAGGGTCCGAGGCAGATCCAGAGGAAGGGGATGTTGAAGGGGTGGGAGGAAACCAATGCTCGGTGCACAGCACGCAGAGGGGTGTGGTGGGGGAGCATGGCCGGGTGGAGTCAGAGATCAGGGCGTGTAAGAAACACTGCCCTCGGGCCGGCCCAGTGGCGCACTGGATAGTGCGCCGCTTGGGAAGCGCGGCGGCGCTCCCGCCCGAGGGTTCGGATCCCACATACAGACCGGTTCCCGCTCACTGGCTGAGCGAGGCGCGGGAGCGACGCCGAGGGTTGCAATCCCGTTGCCGGTCCCTGGTCCGGTACGGGGGCAACACTGAGGGTTGCGATCCGTTGCAGGACACGGAAAAAAGAAAAAAAAAAAAAAAAAAAAAAAAAAGAAACACTGCCCTCTTCTTGGAAAGACCTGGGTTTGACGCCACTGGGCCTCCTTCTTTCAGCCGCTGCCAGTGAAGGCTTCATCTGAGCAAAGAGATGCTGTCACTTCATCACCTCTAAAGCTCTGCCCTTATCAAACAGCCCGGAATTTTATGATGCTTTGATCATTTTGGAGTAGTGCACAGTGTGTTCTTGACCAAGTGGGTCAGGACTGAGGTGTTTTACGCTTTTCTTAACACTGAAATTGATAAACTTGAGAGGTGTTTCTGTTGCCAAGTGGCAGAGATTCACATCTCCTCTTAACCCCCCAACTGCCTACACGGCCTCATTATGCCCATCCTCTCTCCTTCCACATAGACTTCCAGTTGCCACCTCAGGGCCTTTACTCATGTGGTGGATAGAGCTGTGCCAGGAAAACCATCACTAGCGCATCAGTGGGACTCAGCAGGCTTCCTCCGCTCAGTCCAAGTCTGGGTATTTTCCATTTCTGCCCCGGGTGGACAGTGAGGTAGGGATCTGGAGAGCTGATCCTGATTTTGTAATGGTCCATTCAAAGGCTCCTTTGGTGGAGCTTGCTCGTCCACTCCACTTCCTTCATCCATTGCATACAGGTAACACGGAGGGGATTTACCCACTTGTCTCAGAGAGATTTTTGAGGAGGTCTGTGTATTTAAATCTTGGCTCTGCCGTTTACTAGCTGGCTGGAGCAAGTGACTTATCCCCTTTCTGCCTCTGTTTCCTCATTTGTTCTGACCTCATGGGATTGTTGTAAGGATGTATTTTCCATTCTTGTTTAACAAACTTAGCAGCTTAAAGCAGCATCTATTTATTATCTCACAGTTATGTAGTCATAAGTCTAGGTGGGCTTGGTTGGGTTGTCTCCCTAGGGTATCACAAGGCTGAATCAAGGTGTCAGTGGCTTTGCTCTTATATGGAGGTTCTAGGGGAGACTGCTTACAAACTCATTCAGGTTGCTGGCAGAATCCAGTTCTCTGGAGTTGTAGAACTACAGTCCCCATTTCCTTGCTGGCTGTCAGCTGGGAACTGCTGTGTATCTTAAGGTCCACTGACTTGGGACTTTAATTGCATCTGCAAAATTCCTTCACAGCAGTACCTAAATGAGTGTTTGATTGAATAACCAGGGGACAGGAATCTTGGGGAGGGGGGGGGCTATCCTTAGAATTCTGTCTCCCACTGAGGATTAAATGAGGAAATATAGAGACAGTTCTTAGAACTAGTCCTGGCATATAGCAAGGCATTTCCAAGGATTCACCACCACAAACTTGGCTCTGAAGCTGGCCACTGGGGACTACATGAGGATGGCATTTCTGCAAAACATAGGAATTGGCAGTGCAGTGTATGTTGTATGATACACATTCTCCTGTGCATTGTGAAATTAGTTCATATTCAGTTGTGTGGCAGATGGTGAAATTTTGTCTTTGTTTTTCCACAGTGGTTTTCTAAGGTGGCCATTTCTGACTCTCCACGGGAGGTTGCTATGGCATTTCCTCACCTGCAGCAACCCAGCTTCCTACTGGTAAATATCAACTGCCTATGTGAGTGTCAGTGTGAGGATAGGATTTTTTTCCACTGACTTGGAGAACTCTAGTGGTTGTTTTGGAAATAATGTGATGGAAATAACACCAGACTCGGGGATAGAATCCTTGAGCTCGACTTTGCCTCCTTATTACTATAGGACCTTTGGTTTACTCAGCCTCTGAGCTCTGGTTTTCTGTAGTGGTTGTTTTGGAAATAATGTGATGGAAATAACACCAGACTCGGGGATAGAATCCTTGAGCTTGACTTTGCCTCCTTATTACTATAGGACCTTTGGTTTACTCAGCCTCTGAGCTCTGGTTTTCTCATCTACAAGATGAATGATTCAAATGCCCTTTTCCTACTTCCCAGGATATGGGGAGGAGCAGGTGAGCACATCAGAACGTTTATGACCTGTTCAAATCTTTATGCAGATATGAAGCATTCTAATAATCATAACTGTTGTCAGTGAAGAATGGAGGGACACTGCTGTGCTGGGGGCAGCTGGGACTGCACTTTAAGTATTAAACATGATGCTAAGAAGTTAGATATGAGGCAAATATCCCAGAAGATACTTTTTGTAAACATTTATTCGGAAGACGTTCTTCCTCTGCACACCCTACTGGAGCCAATAGGTCTGACCCATGACTTGAATAGAGCTCCATCTCTGACTCAGACCACATGAGATTCATCCTCATTTGGAGCCAGACAAGGCCTTCAATATCCCTGGGCAAAATCCTCTTGGTTGAAATTCTGGCATTTCCTCCTGATTTTAACCTGTTTGCTCAGAGGCCTGTTTTCCCCATGTAGTCAGCGTGCTTTCCCCACATGCCATGACCTTGGGTAGATTTCCTTAGTTCTTGTCCTGAATGTTTTCTGGACTGTCCATTGCCTTCATGATTAGTGTTGACTTGGCTGAAGCCATCTATAATTTTAGCCTGCCTTGTTTTTTAAGGTAATGAGTTCAGTAGGTTCATCATCTACTGAATAAAGGACAGCTGGGTTGAGAGGGCTTCTGCTATAACCCTCATGCTGTTGGGCATTCTCACTGATGGTCACAGTGGTGTATCATGGGGGGTGTTGGTCAAGTGGGAAATTTCCAAATGTGTACAGACTCAATGAGTAGTCTGTGGTCTGAGAAGTGCCCTATTCAATCGGGGGCTCTTCTGGCTCTTCTGGCTCTTCTGGTCCCTTGCTTATGTGTCAGCAGAAGTCAATTTTGTTCTGAAAGTGTGCAGTGCACTGCGGTAACTGAAGATGCCTGAGGGAGGGTGCTACGAAGCAAGCCTGAGAATACTGGTCTGCAGAACAAAGAACTGCTGCCTCTCTTCTCGTAGCATCCTTTGGGCCACTGACACATGCGTGACCTGACGCATGAGGTGCTGGGAAACCAGGCCAGCGGTTGTGTGTCTGACTCATACCTATCCCTTGAATTTCTGTTTTGACTCAAGCCAGAGTATCAGCAAAAGCTGCAGAGTGAACACACTCATGATTTTTTCACTTTGTTCTGTCTTCTAGGCCAGCCTGAAAGCTGACTCTATAAATAAGCCCTTTGCACAGAGGTGCCAAGACTTGGTTAAAGTCATTGAGGATTTTCCAGCAAAGGTACAGCTCTGCTAAAGTTTCTCTTTGTTATATGCCTTATGTACTCCTTGAAAACTTTATTATAGTCCCTGACTCTCCCGCTGTGAGCAGTGCCGGGCCCAGAGGCCTAGCCCAGTATCGTAACTGTCATATTAACGGACATATTTAAACATGTGAACATGTAGACCAGGAGTTCTTAACTAAAGGTGCTTCTGTCCGTCAGGGGACACTTGGCAATGTCTGAGACATTTTCGGTTGTCACAACTTGGGGTGGGTGGGGAGTGCGCTGCTACTGGCATCTGGTGAGTAGAGGCCAGGGATGCTGGAAAGATCCTGCAATGCAGAGGACACCCCTCTGCAACAGAGAAGTATCCAGCCCAAAATGTCAATAGCACCAATGTTGAGAAACCCTGATGTAAATACTGAAAATAATGTATTTAAATCACACCTTGGAATTATCAAGCACAGGAAGCTGGCCTAGATAAGGAGTTAATATTAAATGACAATAGGTCAGAGTTATGTTTCAGCAGCCTCACTCTAAGAAAGACTGTTGCTGCTCTTTTTAATAGAACTCTTTTCAGATCAGTTTTTGACATTTGTAAAAAAAAATCTTTTAATGACAGGCTGACTTATTTAACTGGCCCAAATGTAAAGCTGTACTGGTTGGTATGCCCGTAACCCTAGTGGATGAATCCAAAGCTGCTCTTCCCATTGGCACTGCCACACCAGGATTTTCTGTGGGTGCACGGCTGGTCCTTTGAATCTCTACCAGGGAACGACCTCTTTGGGGAGGTGGGCAGTGTGTGGTGCAAGACGAGCTGGGGCGGGAATGAACACTGGTCCTTGGCAAGCCTGTCCGCAACCTAACCCACACTCTCACTGGCACACTGTTTCAGGAGCTGCACACCATCTTCCCGTGGCTGGTAGAGAGCATTTTTGGCAGTCTGGATGGCATCCTTGTTGGCTGGAACCTCCGCTGCTTACAGGGGCGCGTAAACCCAATAGAGTACAGCATTGCCATGGAATTTCTAGACCCTGGGTAGGTAGGTTTGTTGCCCAGGAGGAACTGGGTGCTTCCTCATTGTGATCCCATTTTTAAATCACTCTAACTTCTAGTTCACTTTTAACTAACTTTGGACCAACTTTAACTTCTTAAACTTAAGAAATAATCAGAGCAAGACAGTTTGCAGTTCATTTGCCCTGTTTTTGTTTCTGTAATTTCATGTTCAGTGGCCCAATGATGAAGTTGGTTTATAAACTTCAAGCTGAAGACTATAAGTTTGACTTTCCTGTCTCCTACCTGCCTGTAAGTAAGCTGTGGTGGTGAGAGTGGCACTTGGGGCGTGATGGGCAGGCAGGGCTCAGAGGGGCTGTGACAGTGGGCAGAAGAATGCTATGGTGTCTGTGGTTTTTTTGGTTTTGTTTTGTTTTGTTTGGTGGCTGGCCAGTATGGGGATCTGAACCCTTGACCTTAGTGTTATAAGATCATGCTCTAAGCAACTGAGCTAACTGGCCAGCCTTCAACAGCTGCATTTTTAAAAGATCATTCCAAACTCTGCCAATGGAGAAGGTTCCATGCTGCCTGGTTTACTCCATGTGACCAGTTGCTTTGCTCTTCTGTACCCCCACCCCTTCAGGGGCAAATTGAGGGGCTACTTGCCCAGTATGAGAAGCAAGGGAGACAGGGCTCAGAAACATGCCCAGGTGCTGCCCTTGCCATTTATGGGCTCTTATGAAGAGGAGAGGAGAGTTTCCAAGCAAAGACTCTTTTGCTTAGGTGCTGTCACCACAGGCAGGTCCTGTGTGCCGGTCTCTTCCTTAGCAGCCTTCCCAAAGGGCTGTGCCATATGAGGGGGCACCATGCCCATGAGCCTACCTCCCTCTTTGCAGGGCCCCGTAAAGGCATCCATCCAGGAGCACGTCCTCCCCGACAGCCCTCTGTACCACAACAAGATCCAATTTCCCCCAACTGGGGGTCTCAGCCTGAACCTGGCCCTCAGTATCCTTTGGTGGCCTCAGGGGGGAGATGGTGGGAGTGGCCCAGCACACAGGACTGGGGGGTGGTCCAACAACCCTGTGTGTTTGCCCCCTGACACTGCCATCAGATCCGTTCGAGTATTACATATTCTTCTTTGCCTTGAGCCTCATCACTCAAAAGGTACAGAAGGGATGCTTCTGAGTGCAGTTTGCTTCACCAAAGCCTGCTGTGAAGGGTGGGGGCCATGGCCCGGGGTTTCCCCGCGATTGTCAGTGCCTGGTGGCCAGGGTGGTGACCAGAGCCCACACTAACACTGAGTTTGGTTTTCCAGCCACTTCCTGTGTCCCTCCACGTCCGCACTTCAGACTGTGCCTATTTCATCCTAGTGGACAGGTACCTGTCGTGGTTCCTGCCCACCGAAGGCAGTGTGCCCCCCCCACTCTCCTCCAGTCTAGGGGGTGTCAGCCCCTCACCAGCTCCCAGGTAAGGCTCCCCAGCTGCCTTGCCGATTAAGGTCTGTCCCTTCTGTGAGGGAGTGGCCTGGTTGGTGGTATTTCCCACAGGGACAGTGGTACCACCCTTTTTCCAGGGTTCCCCAATTTTTATGCCTCATTTCCCAGACCCAGCTGTTTTAGCACAGACTGGAGGGCAGGGATGAGGATGTCATCTGTGTTTTAGTTCTCAGTGGTCCATAGCCATCACTGAAGCTGTCAGGTCTGTCCTTGTTTTTTTTTTTTTTTTTCCCTTTTTGTCTTTTTTACTGACCGGTAATGGGATCGCAACCCTCTGTGTCACGCCCGTACCGGGGACCGGCAATGGGATCGCAACCCTCGGTGTTGCGCC